TCTATTTTTATAAAAAAATTCAAAGTCATTAAAGTGTTTCTATTGAGTCAAGTTTTCATTTTCACCCTCATCTTCTTTCTGAAGAATCAAATCCTAAATCGGAGACCAAAACAACCCCTCTGCATGACATTTAAATTTATATTTTTGTTTATTTCCGTCAGTAAAATCATAGGCAGCAGGCATGCAATTCAGGAGCGGGCCTGTGGTTGAGGAAGCCTAGCGGCCGTGTGCCCATTTCCCGGTGACCGGGAATGGTAGTCTGCACCGGATCTTACTCTTTTGGGTGCGCTGATTAGGTAAGCTGGCCTAGCCATCTGTCCAGCCAGCTCTGTAATGCAGAGGATGGGTTACCCCAGAGTGTTTTCCAACTTGATTCTATTCTTCTCAACCAGTTTGGTAACTTAATTAGCAGTTTGGTAGCAGCTAAGAGAATGGGGTGGCGTGGGAAACTTCTGGTGAGTTTGATTCAGGATCTATACAACGCGAATGAATTCACTTAAACATTTAAGGAAATTCTTTTCTGATCTATAGCCTGTGTCTCATATGTTCTGGTTTTCTTCTTCTTTGTTTAATCACCAGTTGACCACGCTAATAAGTGACCACTCTTGCTAGTCTGAACGGCAGCAAAGACAGAAACATTTCACTTTCAGTTATGGATTGCCGCCTGGGTCGGCCAACCCATAGGAGACGCGGAGCTCGAAGATGGACGGGGCATCCGCGAGCTCTGCCTCTGCCCCTCCGCCCGGCCAGGAGCTCTTTATTTGCTCTCTCGAGTTGATTGCTCTCAATGTAAAAAAACCCCCCTCTTACCAGGGACCTGACATGATGTACCATAATGACTCGGGAAGAAACGTTCGACAGTCCATCCTGTCAACGGTGGCTGCCGGGCGCCGCCGGACCATGGCAGGCCTTTTTATCAGGTCAATGAGCTGCTCAAAATCGTCTACGCAGGGCCCTGCCAGGAGAGGCCAGAGGGCCTCCGAGGAAGTCATTATCGAGTATCAAGTAAACAATGCACATTTGAAAAAATTACTAATTAGGTTTTTGCAGCAACACTTCTCATCCCGAGGGGCTCTACAGTGAGATAATTGACCGAGACGTGAGCGATGCCTCCCAAAGCCGAGGCGTGAAGGTTAACGATCGTGGTGCACAGCCCCCAGCGAAGGGCCAGGGTGAGGAGATGCTGACACTTCAAATATGTTATTGATGTTCCCTTTTAAAATATGGCTTAAGTGGAACTTTCTCGAACGGTTTGGATGAAAGGGTGAAGTGATGTGGCCACAATAACGGCAACCAGGAGAGAAGCCCTACACGTGAGAGACCAGAAGAAAGACCCCCGGAGGCGTTTGCATGCCCAGGCACAGGAGCAGGAAGGCTGAGCGGAATGTCAGGACATTAACTGGCTTAGAGTCCTTTGTTGAGGTACCTTTCACAGACATTCCTAAACGTGTCTGCGATCCTTTTAATATAATGTGCCTCGTTATTTTCAGTGTGTAGCCCTTAGTCTCCTATAAGAAAGTCTTAATATATGTACATGGAATAGAAAGTAAGTTTCTTTATAGCATAGATTTACCATCTTCCTGTTGTAATGTCCATTTTTGAATGCATGGTATGATCTGAAAATTTCTTTTTTTTTAAAATCCTCACCCAAGGATATTTTCCCATTGATTTTTAGAGAGAGTAGAAGAGAGAGGGAAAGACAGAGAGAAATATTGATGATGAGAGAAACACATCAATTGGTTGCCTCTTGCACGAGCCCTGACCAGGTCCTGGGCTGGGGAGGAGCCTGCAACCGAGGTTCACGCCCTTGACCGGAATTGAACCCGGGAACCTTTGGTCCGCAGGCCGATGCTCTATCCACTGAGCCAAACCGGCTAGCACTGAAAATTTCTTTTTAACTTGGAGTATATGATTAAGGATCTAATTTGATCTCAGTGAAATCTGTTTGAATGCTTTTTAAAAAAGGAAATGTTAAGGTGAAGGGTCATGAAAGAAATAAGAAATTATTTCTTAAATAATTCCATTGAGCAAATAGGTTGTCGATTATTGTTACAATTAGACTGAAGAATTTGCTCAAGAGGATGTGGAGATATTATTTGGAAAGAACCAAGTGTGGAAAATTGAGCATGAGAACTTGCATAGGCGCATTAAGACATGGCCTCATGCCTATGAAACAGCCAGGAGAGCCCAAGAGGTGTAAGTGTAGTTGTCATCATGTCCTTTGGCACTAGGAGCATTGGGTGAGATAAACACTGTATATTAAAAATGAGAGGACACCTTACAAAACTGTTTATTTTAAAGCTAACAAGTGACCTGTTCTTGAATGTATGATGGAAAGACAGTGGAGGAGGCAAATGGGAAGGATTTGAATCAGTGAGACTTGAAAACTTCAATATTGAAATCTGAGCATCAAAATGCAGATTTCACTGTGAAAACGATGTTTTATATTTCAATTAGGATTTAAATATATCCTAGCCAAGGAGAGTGGGCTAGCCGGTGAGAGTGCAGCTCTGCTTGCCCCAAAGCCAATGCAATGTAGGGAAGGAAGAACAGTCATGCAATTGTTTTCTTCCTACGTGAGGATAAATCATTGACTCACTTGATTATTTTTCTCCATTGAGTTGCCAAGGCAGCTCATCCACACCGGCCAGCCCGAGGTGTGTATGTTGCCTCATCTACCTCTCATTGGTTCCACTGAGCATGCCTCATGAGGGCAGACCTCCCAGCACCCAGGCTTCCTGTCAGCCGCCACCAGTGTTTCCAACACGAGAAATAAACACTTACCTTTCCTGCATCGGCGGAAGCTGTATCCAGCTGTTAAATCGGGGATCATATCGACTGACAAAATTCGTACTGTGTTTTCCTGTAAAAGATATAAAACTTAGATTCGTTCCGTGGTTGTTTTCCACATTTAATAGTATTTTATACCTCTGTTCTCAGGCTTAACAAATAGATGCCTGAAGTAGAGGGACTACCTAACAGGGGTTGAGAAGTGAAGTCAGTGAAGAATAAACGAGCCACCTCCAATGTTTTTCCCTTTACCTCCCTTCTCTGCCCCCCTTTTAATGAGTTATGATAAAAATAAATCAACCATAATAATAAGAGCAAATAGGTCTGTCAAGCCAGTTTTATCCCAAAGTTAGGGCAAAACACTCTAGGCTTTGGTGTTTTTATGCTTTAAAAACATGAAGTTATTGCCTATAAAGCATCAGTTCCAAGACCACCCTGTGTGATATCTCTGGTTAGAGCTTTTATTTTTATTTTTTAAATGATCCCAGAATTCCAGGAGTGGGAGAGCCCACTCTCTCTCTGTGGAAATAGTGGCCATCGCCACAATACGAGGTTTAAGGAAGTCAGTTTTAATCTATGCGTGTCGTGTACGCTGTGTGTGTGTATTTGAGGGAAGCGCAGTTGCTGTGACCTAGTGCAGGTACGAGTGCTGAATGGGGAACATGAGCCCTTGGAGCCGGGTAGCCAGCTTGTCCCTCCGCTGAACCCAAGCACAGCCATGCCTCTGAGGCATAAAAATTATTCTTATTTACACACAGATTGTCACCAAGAAATGGAAGCCAAGGAGTGTATGCCGTTTTCTGTGTAGCACCTGAAATGACAATCATCTGAGATGTGCGTGCGTGTGTGCGTGCGCACGCATATACATGCGTGGTTTCACGTGGGCGTGTATACAAAACCCAATTATTAATTGCACAATAATCTGTTGAGTACTTATTATGTGTCTTATGTGTTCTAGATTCTGATGATATATTTGGGGAGAAAAGAAAGGCTAAGTTCCTGTTTTGGTCAATGAATAAACAAATATAGACTATATTATCAAGTAGATGAAGGCCAGGGGTTGGTAGAGGGGAGGCCAGCTTAGGTAGAATGCCACAGATGCCTTTTGCAAGCCATGCAGATACCTGCAGAACGAGCCTCTCAGGCCGTGGGGTATGGAGCAGAAACTCCTGGGCTGCTCATGAATTCAAACCCAGCAGGAACGCTGGAGCGGCTGGGACAGAAGCCGGAGACGTGTCAAGGTCCAGAGCAGTGTGTGTTATGGACGAGGGTAGGATCGCGCCTTTTGTTATAAGAACGAAGGCAGGCATGTGGGGGGTGTTGAGCAAGCAGGGCATATGGCCTAATTTGTCTCTTACAAAGATTACTCTGGCTGCTGTGTGAAGAACAGACTATAGAGGCGCCACCCTCGAAGCAGCGGAGCTATCAGGTGGTCATTGAAGGAAGGTTCAGGCAGAGAGATGTGGTCAGGTTTGGGATCAACTGCATGGAAACAGCCAATAAAATTTCCTGATTATTAGTTTGAGATAAAGAGGAGATAATGAAGGAAGGTTGCCAGGTTTTTAGCCTGAGTAACTGGACAGAAGGCCATGCGATGTGCTGAGGTGGGGAAAACCAGCAGGAGTAGTTTGGGGGTTGAGGAGAGAAGTCACCTAGCTTTGGACTTGACCTTGAGAGGCCTATGGGATCTCAAAGTGGAAGTACCTGGTAGACCACTGGCTAAATGAGGCTGTAGGTACAAGTTTTGGGATTATTATTCAAGAAATATTATTTAAAGTCATCAAACAGAAGGAAACCCCGTTAGGCAGAGGGTATGACAATGGAAGGTAATACAAATCCTGGGAATTAGCCCTGGGATAGAAGGAGGAAAACTAGCAAAGGAAAGACATTGTCAGAGATAGGAGGAAAAGTGTGGCATTTTGGAAGCTGTGTCAAATAGTGTTTCAAAAAGAGGAGTTAGCATCTGAGAATTAAACATTCGATTTGACAACAGCGAGGTTGGTGGTGGCCTGGACAGGTGGCTGCTTCCATGGACGGGTGGGAATGAAAGCCCGAATGGGGACTCCTCTAGGAGACTAAAATATGAGAAATCATGGAAAAGAGGGTAGGGAATACTTTCTAGAACTTCTGCCATGAAAAGAAGAAGATTATTGCTGGAGGATATACCGCCTAAAGAAGCTTCTATTTGTTTGTGCTTTTAAGTTTGGAAGTATTGCAAAAGTGCTTGAGCAAGCAAGAAGGAATGAAGAACAGGCCTTAGACAGGGGCAGAAACAACCACAGGAGAAAAGATAGACTATATGGGTAGCCACAGATACATGTGCATAGATTTGGTAGGAGCAGATACAGATGTTTATCCTCCATTGCTTCTATTGTAATTGAACTAAGAAGAGAGGCTATGCTGAGTGAGGAGGGAGGCTTTGGAGAAAGGCATTTGAGAGAGAAGGTGTGGAATAGTTAAGCTGGAGGGTGGGAGAGTGTACTGATCAGGACAATTTGAAGTGCAGCTGGCTAGTAGTCGGCATGGTGCATAGGAGCCAGAGTGGCTGTGGTTGTCTATATCCACATGGAGTGCTCAGGGGCAGGGAAGAGGTGGGACAGAATGGATGTAACCAGGACCCAGGCTTTACTAGGTAAGTATAATGCAAGGAGGCAGACACGAGGGTTGCAGGTGTGTGCACCAGTGTGACTGGTTAAAGGGATGGACAATGGAATATAAACTCAGTACGGAGGGAAATAAAGACACAAGGGGATGATGGACAGTGAAAAAGTGGTGGGGTCGAGTGAAGGAGGTGGCATTATCTGGAAAAGAGTGGAGAGCTGCCACAGAGAGGGGCAGCAGGTGGTATAATCTGAAATCATCCTTTGAAGGGATGAGTCTTCGGGGCGTGGGGCTGGCAATGAAGAGGAAGTAAAAATTGCTACCTGCCTCCAATCCTATGAAGAGTGAGAAGGTTGAGAAACCCAGTCCCCATTAGAGAGGGTGGCTGGGAGAACAGTCAGGTGTTGACTAGAAAAGAAGTGGTTTAAAGACTGAGGCCCTAGAGCAGTGATGGCGAACCTATGACACGCGTGTCAGAGGTGACACTCGAACTCATTTTTTGGTTGATTTTTCTTTGTTAAGTGGCATTTAAATATATAAAATAAATATCAAAAATATAAGTCTTTGTTTTACTATGGTTGCAAATATCAAATCAATTTCTATATGTGACACGGCACCAGAGTTAAGTTAGGGTTTTTCAAAATGCTGACACGCCGAGCTCAAAAGGTTCGCCATCACTTCCCTAGAGTCAGACAGACCTACACTGAAGCAGCTCAGCCTCTTGCACGCGGTGTGTCTGTGCAAGTTATCCAGCCTCTCCAGGCTTGGTCTCCTCACAGAGGAACCACAATCATGGCTGGGAGCATTACTTGAAATGATGAGGTGGGTGCTTGGCCAAGCTCCTGGCAAAAAATGAGTCCCCAATAAATACGACTCTCAGTGCCAACCAGATCAGCTGTGGTTTACCAGATGGACGGTACGTGGAGCCCCATGGAAAACACTGACGGGGTTGTGGTGAGTGTGTGTTTCGGTTCCTAGCCCAGACCCCTGTACCAGACTGGTGCACCCATTTCCCACCTGCTGTGAGTGTTGGGTGCTCACGGCCACAGCTGCTCCCACTCTGTAGAACTGACCTCAGTGGAACAGGCCCCTCCCTGCTCGTCCTGAGCCCCCACCTGGGAGAAGGCCTCAGCCAATGATTTAGGTTGACCTAAGGGTACAGGAGGCGGGGCTGTTTGCTTCATAGAGTAACGATTCTCCTCTATTTGGGAGAGCCAATCAGTGGTTCCTCTGCATTTCCCCAGACCTACACTAGATGACGTCACATGCCACACAGGTCAGGGGCAGGATGCCGCGGCACTGCAGGTGGAACCCCCAAGGTTTAAAAAGGGTCTCAGGGAAAGAGAGAGTGAGCTGCCATATCGAGACTAAAAAGTAAAATTACAATACAGTACTTAAGGTTTCACTAAAATTCAATTCTGAGTAGCTAAAGCGAGAGAGAAGATGCACATTAAATCACATGAAACGCATTAGCTACAATTTTCAAAAGTGACTCAAGACTTTGGTCTGACAAGAACGTGTCACGTGGGGCTCACACGGAGCTGGCTGGGTGGTGACAGGCATCCCCACAGGAAAGCAATGCTATGCTTTCTGGAGTCTTTGCTCACAGCATCTTCAATGAGGGCTTTCAAGCAAATTGCTGTTCTTCTCAGGGTCGGGGGAGGCACACCAGTGAGGTCCACTGGCCCAGTTTCGTGCCAGTCTGCATTAGTTGAAGATAAAATCTTGCTTCTCTGAAGTAGAGGAAGGAATATGTCCATCCTCACCCCCCACCCGGCCCTCTGAGCTGTGCGTTTGATAGAAGCGGAGCAGAAAGCTGCTGTGGGTCATCTGGGGGAGATAACCCGGGGGGCAGGTTTTCCGTGTGGTTGACGAGGGCCGGTCTCAGGGGAATGGCCGGTCACAGGGTTCTGTGAACACTGAGGTGTGGTGGAGGCTGGTACTGTGACAGCGGCCATTCACCTGGGAACAGGTGGGCGGCCCGGCCTTTGGTCAGGGCCTAGCTTTCGCCTGGCCTTTAAAGAGAAGGTTCTGCAGATCCTTTGCTCAGATAAGCTTGATGACAGGACTGCACGTTCCCTTACAGGTGCTCTGGTCAGCAGAAATCACCGCCGAGGAAGGACGGGTTAAGCAGCCATTGGGGTGTTTGTTGTGGGGGGGGGGGTTGCAGGTATGTGGGGCCTTTGGTACCATCAAAGCCGTCATTTCAAAGAAAAGCTGGAGGAGAGCGAGGACCTATCATTTTCGCTCTTATTCTCTCAAAGCCCAGGAGCTGTCCCTTTCCAGCAAGGAAAGCCGTGCACCAACAGGGCTGCAGGTCTCGCCGAAGAATACGCCCTGGCTTCAGAGAAATGGTCCCGGAGGGTGGCCGGGTGGTGTTCCTTTAAGATATTCTAGAATGAACAGATGTGCCGATTCTCTATAACTTGCCTGTGCAGATGCTGAAAGAGAGCATTCGCGCTAAAATACATGCGGCCTATGTAATTTCATTGGGATGTTCGGGGCTTTAAAGTGAAAACGTGTACCTGCAGCTGTTTGATGGCTTCTCAGCCATGAGCACCCCTGTTACACAAAAGGTGCAGCCGCAGCTCCTCCTCCACGTGCAAGCTTCCCCCAGACCTTGGTAAGGCTGCGTGTCCTGCCAGGCCCCGCGCTCCCCTCTGGCTGGGCTCGGGGAAATGTGTCCAAGGGTTTCATTTCACTGTGGTGAATGCCCGAAGCACCCACACCAGCAGGCGGGGTGGCGGTGAGCAGCGGAAGAAGCCGGGAAGGGCGGGCCACCTGCCACGGGTCTCCAGGAATAGACGCTGCACAAGAACCCCCTCGCAGGTTTTGTGCAGCGCGGCTGCCAACCACGCTTCGTTACTGAAGCGGCATCATGACGCTGTGAGACGGGAGACCGTGGTGGAGAAGGTGGGGGATCCTCGCAGCTGCAGCGGGCCACCTGCCTCTGGGAGGCGGTGCGTGGCCATGGCATCCATCCCTCGAGGGCTGGTGAGGAGAGGGCGGGGCGCCAGCTCAGAGCTGAGCCCCCAGGCAGCCGGCGAGTGAGTAAGTGCGCTGCTGGCATCCTCTGCCAGCTCAGGACTGACCTTCCTTCCCCTCACAGCCCCCCTCCCTGACCCCTCCGGGTCCCTCGGCACAGACACACATCGCCCGCAGTCTTGATGGCTGGACAGTTACCAGGGCCTTTTCTGGCACACGTCCTCGTGGGCCAGCCGCTATTGCCTTGTTCAATAGTTACCATCAGGCCCTGCCAGTGCGGCTCAGTGGTTAAGCGTCGACCTAGGAACCAGGAAGTTATGGTTCAATTCCCGGTCAGGGCACATGCCCGGGTTGCAGGCTCCATCCCCAGTGTGGGGCGTGCAGGAGGCAGCCGATCAATGATTCTCTCTCTCCCTCGCCCTTCCTCTCTGAAATCAATAGAAAATATATTAAAAAAATATATAGTTACCATTAGGGTTCCACTGGTCCTCTCCGCCCAGCACAAACAGGAAGTTCTCTACCTCCACGACGCAGTGGTGGGCGCTGTTGTAGGGCATGACTGGAATGAAGAAGAAAACACAGCTGTGTGACCTTTTCCATCTGAGCCCCTGCCTGTGGCTCACTAGGTATTTGCTTTCACCAAAGTGTAGAGAACGTGAGATGAAGTCCGTCTGAAGGAGAGAGCCAACCGTAGAGCAGGGCGCCCACCCACCCGCCACAGTGGCTCAGGGGCTGTGCCCAGCGACGGCAAGCCCGGCCCCTTCGGATGAGTTTTACATCATGTTATTCCACATATTAGCCAAGAACAACCTGTCACGCTGCTTTCAGTTCTCCAGCCCTCCCTGCCTGCTGGTGGGGCTCTCGCTCTGAAGCAGTGACTGAGACTCCCAATGGTCAGGGCGGGCGCCCTCCTGGAGGAGCTAACCCTGCACACCCGTGGGGCCATTCAGAGGCCCTGCCCCCCCTCGGTTTGCTGAGATGCCCCCGTAAACACACTCGGGGTGCTGGGTGGCTGTCTATCCCCCAGTGCCGAGCAGGCCGGCTTTCCATACAGTGTTCAGTTTTTAAATTAAGGTCCTGCTGATTTAATGCCTCCTCCAAATGCATACGCTCAATTTCCTGTACAATGTCATTAGCAGCACAATCACACATCGCCTATCTCTCTGCTTAGGAGCTCTTCTGGAACAAAGATAAAAACCATCAGGAACATCACGAATATTCATCCCGCTCACCTCGCCCGTCTCCCTGCCCCAGGGTGCGGGCTGCGAGGAGGGGGTGGTAGTCAGAAGCCCGTGAAAGCCAGGTTTCTCGGGGTTGGTTCTCATTTACATTTTCATTTGGGAGACACACGCAACCAGAACAGGACACCCCTGTCCTCCTCCCCCCCCACCCCCATGTGCAGGGCGGTGTTGACCTCCGCCGGTGTCATCTCCTTTGTAAATGTGACCGTCCGCAGCATCAGTTATAACACATGCGGTGGCGGGGCCCGGCGACACCCGGAGTAAATGATGTCCTTGTTCGGCTCATCACATGGGCACCTTAAATCTAGGTGAGGAGAGATGGAGGTGATGTGCACGCTCAGGCAGGGAACGTATTGCCTGACACGGATCAGCAGAGCACTTAAGGAACCAGTGCGCTGGGAAATCAATATGACTCAAGGCCAGCTCTGCCTCCGGCTCTCCCTCCAATGGGGAGAGAGAGGGAAAGAGAGAGCGCGCCTGTCCTACGCCCGACGTGTTTTGGAGGACACACCTCTCTCATCTTATTTTGTTGTTGCTATTATTATTATTATTATTATTATTATTATTATTTTTCAGAATGTGCTTAGGCAGGCTAAGGTAGGCAAGTAATAAGAATAGGAAACAGCCAAAGCTTTGAAACCCATAATGCAGCTTCTGAAAGAGCCAACCAGATCCTTGAAGCATTTTACTCGAGGATTGTAGGAGTTTCGATTATTTTATCATGTTTTTCTTTTTACTGTGACTATTCATTGTTCCTTGAACTGACAGCCACAAGGGAGAAGGCATTGCTATGTAAAGCCCTGATTTCGGGGATAATGTAGGAGAAATTGGGTGTGCCATTGGTTTGTGAGGTCCATTAATTAGGTCGATGGACACAGGGCGTCATCTTGGGAACGTCCTCCCCCCTCCTCAACCCTCAGTTATCTCTTTGGGAAATGCTTTCAGCCAGACAGAATCTGCAGCGTCGCCTCTTAGAATCCATTTGGAGCAGAGTGTGTGTTGGGTTCATTGAACAACTAAGATTGGATAGGTTTTGAACATCCTTGCTTTTTTCTTTTTCAAATGAACTCATCATTGTTTGGATTATGAGGATGGTTCCAAAACACCAACAACAAACTATGCTCCCCATACATTACGTGTCTCATGAACAGCCTGATGCTACTCAGTTCATCATCATGTCAGCTGGTCAGCGCAAACGCCTAGCCTTGATGGCCATCTGCTCCCGTGAGAAATGAGCGGAAAAACAGAGGCCACCGGCTACAACCAACATGTGATGGCAGCCACTCTTCCAACATCTACTTAACATTTTTGGCCCGTTCAATGTCCGCATCTTATGAGTAATACAAATGGTATTCTCTTCCTTTTAACTGGAAGTCCAGCTTTATAATACGGCACTGTCTCTGAAAATACAACTGTACTTGTATTTTGTTCTTGCCATTCACTTGTTCCCATTCAGGCAGGCAGACATTAAGTGAAGGAAATAATAGATGGTTTATCCTTAAGCCTGTTTTTCATGTGATTACCCCTACGGTTATGCAAACAAATGAAACGATTGCACTAGGGCCATGGTCGGCAAACTGCGGCTCGCGAGTCACATGTGGCTCTTTGGCCCCTTGAGTGTGGCTCTTCCTAAGCCTTAGGAGTACCCTAATTAAGTTAATAACAATGTACCTACCTATATAGTTTAAGTTTAAAACATTTGGCTCTCAAAAGAAATTTCAATCGTCGTACTGTTGATATTTGGCTCTGTTGACTAATGAGTTTGCCGACCACTGCACTAGGCTAACAACTGAAACCTTCCAAATAAGAGAGGGGGTCTTTGCAGTTCTAATGGAAAGGCTACTTGAAGGCATTCCTCTTTATCGACACAGAGTATTTACTCTTGTTTTTAAACCTCGTATGCTGTCTTTCTTGGCAGGACATGTCAGTATCCTCATTCCTGCATTATTGTCTCTTTTGAATTATTACCATGAATTGCGAGGCTGTAAATATGCACAAAAGCTCTTTGAAATTCTTCTGAATGTAAAAGGCTCCGAATTTATTAGAAGAAAATTTATATGAAATCAATGTTGGAGTTTTGCAAAAGACCTACTTTCTTTGATTTCTGATGGAACCTGAAGGAAAGTAAAATAAACAGGGCAGCGAGCAAGGGCAGACATCTGTTGAAGGCGGCAGGAGGTCCTGCACTTACTGGTCACCTTTTGAAGAATGAAGAAGACCCGCCTGCCCCTCTCCGGCTTTCTCTAGAGGCGGACACTCGCCGCGCCCTCACGAGCAGGTGCTGGAGGAGAAGTCTGTGCTCCGTGCTCACCGGCAGCCCCGTGTGCGTTTTTAGCGTGTCAGTCAGTGAGTCAGAGGGAAAGGGTAAAGAGAAGCTAATCAGGATGAAATGAGATTAAAGGCTGTCTAATTTTACAGCAACTGTGATCCATCAGCCACTGTGAAAGTGACAGTGGAAATGAATGATGGAGACAGACAGGTGGGGCTGTACATTCCACTGATTTATCCTCAAATGCACTGGGCCTTATTTTATTGAGTGAACATGACCGCATTTATCATGACTGTCATCTAAACCCACTTCCCTCCATTTAAAAAGGTCACTTTACTCAGAGGGAGCAGGAGAGAGGCACTTTCAAATCAGACTTAGCATTTCCTCACATGTGTCTATGAGGCCCTTTGTGAGAATGCTCAACTTTTATGAAACAAACTACAAGTGCTGGAAGGAAAGGGGGAGGGGGAGGGAGGCCAGAAAATAGAAAAAGAAGAAACCTTTGGACATCTGTGGGAATACACTCACTTAGTCCCTAAATTTGAAGCAATCTGTATCATTTTTGCCTTTGTCACTCCGAGGGAAATTCTATTCTAGCCTGGGAAGTGGAATCAAATGTTTGCATGGAATATTTTTAATGAAATGAGTAAGAACAGGTGATACTATACAGTAAACGTGGGACAGCTATTGAGTCCCAGCATTTACTCTGCCGAGTGGCTGGTCACCACACACTCAGTAGATGTCAGCAATTGCTACAAGTTGAATCTCGGCCACAATTCACGCAAATGCCTGTTAATTGTTTCCCCATCACTTTAAGGCCATAAAAATCTCAGTTACACAGGCTTTTTACTCCTCCTTGCACCAGTGCAATAAAATAGCCTGGAATGTTATGCATCAAGTTAGTCTTTGTGAAGAGCATTTTGTGTAACCACCATGTACCAAATATTTACTATGTGCCAGGCACTATGCTGGTGCTATATCTATATATATACATATATACACACACACTTATATTTATATATAGGTACCTAGATTATATTGCTGAAAATATAATACCATGTTTTGTTCTTGCCACTCATTTGCTCCCATTCAGGCAAGCAGAAATTAAATGAAGGAAATAATATATGATATTATAATGTATGATAAAATATAATACAGGATAAAATATACCTCTATTTGATTTATCTACATCTTTCATTTAATACAGCTAACTACAAGGGAGGCATCACTCACCCATTTTATTTCTCTAAGAAATACTGAGGTTTTAAGAGGTTACGTCACTTGTTGAAGGTCATACTCAGCTAATGAATGGCAGAGAGAACCCAGACACAGGGCTACTGGATCCCAACCCGCGCTCCTACCCATTTCACTCTACCGACTCTCAATAGGTGTGTGCGCCCAACCAGCAAGTCATTACTAGTACCTGTGTCTTCAGTGATGTTCCTGAAACCCCTGTATAATTTTTTTTGTGTTAAGTCATATGTTAAATGTCTATTATTTTCATATTTAAAGGAATCCTAATTAAAGCAAGTGGGCACTCCTTTAAAGTTTTTTTGTTTTGTTCTAGAAATCCAATATTCAAACAATATTCAAATGGTGGGTTTTCTTCAAGTAGGATACATTTGTTTGAAGGAGCAAGGAAAACAGGGAGCAAACAAGCCAGGTAAGGGCGGGTAGAGTCTACTGGCAGATTTTTAAGCAACGAGCACCTATTTCAACCTCGTGAGCAGATTCACCGTGTCTTGGGCATAGAGGCGCTTTACCTGGTACATGCAATGTGCAGGGGCTTGTGTGTTTGAAGGCCTTATTCTGCTGGAGAGTGACACTTCCACTCCCTCCCCTATGTCACATCTGAGGAAGGAATTCCTCTCCCTAAGGAAGTTACGGGAATCCTCCACAACCACAGGATGTCCACGAACATCCAAACCGCGGGTCATCGTGGCTATGCCAACTTCATAAAATCGCTAAATAAATGATGATGGGATATTTATCACTTCGATGTCACATTTATGAGGGCCTTGATTTCCTCTTGGCCTTAAATTCATAAAC